ATGTCATGGAATTTACCGTTAGCTTTTTGCGTTTATAGAAATTTGAAAAAACTTGCGGTTTCGGAAATATAAGGTGTCAAAAATTCAAATTTTACAAATTTCAAGAGGCGATAACTTGAGAGGGAGTGGAGATGCAAAAAAATTTTCTTCTAACGAAATGAACTATTTGTTAATGTCTAAAAGCCACTAAAATTTCAAGCTTCTACAGGCTGGGGTTTAGAAGAAAAACGAAATCAAAAAATGGGAAAAAAAGGACTTCAGGTAACGGTATATTTGAACGGCGATTTTGTTTTTCTAAAGTTTAACTATAGTGTACTGCACTAAGGGAAGCAAGCCGCTGCCTTTATGCGTTTGCAAAATTTCAAAAATGCTTATGGTTTCATTGCAACAAATAGTTAAAAAAGGCCATTTTTAGGGTTTTGGGGGGGTATAACTTCTAGAGGGGGGAGATAGGTAAAAATTTTGTTCTACGAAAATAAGTTTCTAGTAAACATCTATGTACATGCAAAATTTCAGCTTTCTATCTTCAAGGGTGTAGAAGTTTTGTAAACAGACACACGGACAGACGGACAGACGGACGGACGGACGGACGGACGGTCGGACGGACAGAGTGAAACTAATAAGCACTTTTTTTCAAAAATTTTTTGGAAAAAGTGCTAAAAAGTAAGAGGAAAGGGCGATATACACGATTATGCCATTAAAATTTTGACTTTTTTTTCTACATCTAATAAGATGTGCATACCTTTCCCAATTGCAATTAGTATCAATCCGAACTGAATAAGTTCTCTTATGTATGAAAATAATGAATATGAACAATTGAATATGAACTGTAGAAATGAATATGTGCCGATATTTAATTTTCAACTTGAAACAAAAAGGTGAAAAAATAGAACACATTTTCATTTTAAAAGTGTATAACATGACATATAATATCATCTTGACATATCTTGAGAAATGAATAGACTATTGATATCTAGTTCCGTCAGAAAAGTTTTTGGAACAATAGCTTAGTTATAATGCTTTTCAGAGATATTTTTTTAAACTACTGGAAAAATTAAATCCTTTTTTCTTGTATCGGGAAGCGCTTAAAATTTTAGGTAAAACTTCATATCTCTTCTTTTTTTGTCAAAAATGCAGTTATGTATCATGTTCCGATAGAAAACCCTAGATTTGAAAGATTTGAAATTTTTTACATTCCACTTAAGGATGTATAACATTTTAAAATTATAAAATATCTAAACTAAACTATATAGAGAAGAGTTGTTGAAAGCAGCAAGTAGCTATGTAAACGTCAAGACTATTCTCATATATTCCGGTTTAGGCTGTTCGTCTGTAACCCAATGACTATATTAGATAAAATATTTGTAAAAAGCAAAAAGTTGTTGCATATATTTAGAGTGAATTATTTCTGAAAAGAAAGAAGAGGAAAGATTGAATGAGAGTGTAATCAAATAAATACGTTCATTTTTGTATTAACTTACTTATTAGCATGTCGAGAACATATAAAATTGGAACCTGTTCTAATGCATCGCATAAGATCGGCTTTTCTTCTAAAATATCAAAAATAAGATGGAGTTTGTAAAATTCCAGATGCCTCCTATGGGTCTCATAGTGTCGTTAAAATTACGGTAACTCTATTATAATTTTTTTTTGTACATTATGTTCTCATTTTATTTTTATTTCTTTTATATTTATAAAATATTAAAATTAGTATTTTAAAATATATAAAAATTTTTTTACTATATTTATAAAATATTTATAACAGTTTTTCAAGGTCTCTAATTGAAAAAATTCCAATGAACTTTTATTATTTTTAATTTTCAGTAAAGGCTTATAATAAACGAAGTCGAATATTTAAAATTAATTGAAAAAAAAATTTATTTTTATATACTTAAAAGAAAGAAATAAAAATAACAAAATTTTAAATTTGCATATTAAGTATTAAAATTATTTTTTTTTATTTTCATGTAAGTCTATTAATAGAAAAAAATAAAAAATCACTTATGCTAAACAGGATATTTGAGCTGGAAAATTTTGAATAAGATCTAAAAAAAAATTAAATTTCGATTAGACCGATTTGAGTGAGAACACTATATATACTTAAGCACGTGTATTTTATTGTTTGTATATTATATTTATATTATTATTAATTTACTACATACAAACAAACATACATTAAATAAAATCAAAAAACATCTCATTTTATTCATACAAAATTTAAATAGGAATTTTGTTCAAAACTTTTACCATAATAGCTGTGTTAACTAAAAGCGAATATAATCATGTATGTGTTTATGTGTACACACATACATATTATATACATTCCCATATACAAATATTTTTTAATAAGTTAACAACATAATTTTGAATCATCATTAATAGTTTATTTTTATTATATTCGACTTTTACCATAAAAATTTTTCTTTTACTTTTTTGAAATAATGCAAAATTTTTACCGAAAAACAAGAATTCATTCATAGTTTTTATTCCTTTCGGACCTTGACACTTTTTTCTTTCTTTTATTTTTTTAATTTTTTTTTCTTCTTTATTTAGTTTATTTTGCAATATGATTTTGTATACCAAAAGAAAAAATTCCAAAAAAAAAACTGATGATGAGTTATTAAAAATTTGACCGTGAAAATTTTTTTGGCCATTCATATTATATTTAATACCAATTAATTTCCCTTTATATGTCTATCTCTTACCCATATATATTTAAATGCGAATTCATCTTAAGATTTTTACCATTTGTGTGCTGAATGCTCTTTTGAAATTTTTCAAATAAAAATGGTGAATAATTGAAGAAAAAAAATGATAAATAAAAATAATTTTTATTTTCTCTTTTTTTTTTTTTTGCAAATTATTTTGGTGTCTTGTCTTTTTGGTATATATATTAGACTCGCTTACCACACACGATCAAATCCATATACAATAAAAACATGATAGCTATAAGGTTAGTTTGATTTTGGAAAATTTCATTTGAAACCCAAAAATAAAAGAATTGTCAAAATTGTTTTTTTGTTTTTAGTTACAAAAGTTTTACATATTTGTAATTTTTCAAAGTCAAACATAATTTTTCTATTAATATTTTTTTTTCATTTCTTATTAGCAAATATTTATAGCGTTATTTTTCTTTCACTGCCAAATATACAACAGATATTGTGTGTATGTGTTAAACACTGAACATTATACGCATAATTTCTATGAAAAAAATTTCAATTTTATGTTATTCAACAATCAATACGGCGGACCCATAAAACTTGTTATATACCCTAAATGACATGTATTATTAAGTAAAATTTATAAAATTCCGTAAAATAAAACATAATTGTTTTGATAATTTTTTTTTTTAATTATGTAATTGTTTTGAAAATATTTTTATATTTTTAATTACGGTAAATTTTAGAAATTTTTTAACTTTAGTCAATGTTTTTAATTTACTAAAATTTTTGTTTTTAATCTAATCAGAAATGGTGTATGCATCATATGTAATAGACCTCAAATGTAACACCCTTGTTTATGAACTCGTTTAGAAACTATGTGCATTAAGGTGATAATAGTGTATAAGGTGGTTTTGAAACTTAGGTTTTTTTTTGATATTTTACAATTAAAACAATTGATATTAAAATATAAAATCAATAATAGTTTCTAAAATTGTTTTTGAAAATTTTGAAAGTGTATACAACCCCAAAAATGGTTTAGTAATAAATTTAATAAAGTAAAATATAAGATTTTTGATAAAAACCGTTATATTACCTCAACATTTTAATTAAAATTAAAGAAATCTGTAAACAAAAACTTTACTTAGTATATAATAAAAAAGCCCATTACAAGAGTATTTTGACTTAACTATTTGAGTACAGTCGAACTCGCTTATTATTACATCATTTTGGGTACAATTTTTTTGTGAATATATGCATTGGGGCAAAGTTTAGTGTTCAAATTTTATTGTTTTATAAGAATATCACTTTAATATTAAGTAGTAAAATATTGAATATACTATACTATGGAATGATCTATCCTCTATGATAACACAAGATTAACATAACTTATCGAAAGAATAAATTTGAGAATTCTCCTGTTATTTAACTGTACAACACCATATTCACCGTATTAAAGCATCATTTCCATCAATATATGTATGCATTTTATAATATAATATTTATTGTACATTGATTATAATAATTAAGTTAGTCTTAAGAAAGTTACCAAAGAATGAAGATTAAAATAAACACATTGTTCTTTATTCAATTTTACTGCTCCTAGCCAAGGGTAACTTCATATCCATGTTGTGTTCAACCATTTCATTTTAACAATTCAACTTATATGCGAGGGATGACAATGTGTATATAATAAAAGTGTCTTATAATATTGTAAATTAATTCATATTTTCTAATTTTGGCTTGAGGGCTCACTTTTTTTTAACATATAATTGCTAAAAAAATGTGCTTATAATGTTTGCTTGAAACGATGACATAACTCACAAAAATATCATAAAAATTGCTTGTTGTTGATATATGCAAATAGGATGAAGAACTAGATAAATCTATAAGCAAAAAAATGTTATATGTATAAAAGAGTTTTATTTATATGCTTGTTGCAATTGAGCGTGTTCGACTGTTGTAATGAGAAATATAAAAATATTTCATTGAAGCTTTATATTTAAATTTGGGTCGGCTTTGTTTAATAAATGAAAATTTATCTTCGAAATTTTTCATGTACTATAAAATGTATAAAAAATTTGTACCCATAAATTAAAAAAAAAATAAATTTTAAAGTTAGAGAACGTTGAGTAAAGATATGAGTATTGAGCTATTTCGTTGACATTTATTTGTCATTGCAAATTCTATAAAAGAATTTAAAATAAAAAATTGAATTTTAAATTTGAATAAAAACTGCTAAAGTGTGCTGCTTTAGAGAATTTAATAAATAAATTTAAAAAATATTTTATTTTTTAAGAATAATAAAAAATTAATATTAATTTTTTTTTTCATTTACAGATAGACTCAATATCATCAATATATGCTGGATGGAGAGATTTAATGGACAATAAATCAGATCCAAGAACAAGGGATTGGCCATTAATGAGCTCTCCATTTCCAACAGTAGCCTTAAGTCTTACATATGCTTATTTTGTAAAGGTATTATATTTGACATCAGAAAACTTTTTGAACTTTATTAATTGAATCTAGAATGCAATTAAAAAATGTTTTCAATATTTTTATTAAAGGTATTGGGACCAAGATTAATGGAAGATAGAAAACCATTTCAATTACGAGCAGTTTTAATTATTTATAATTTTGCACAAGTTGTATTTAGTATATGGTTATTTTATGAAGTAAGAAAATTTTAAAAATGATAAATAATTTTTGAATAAAGTAAAAATTAAATAATTATGTTTTGTTTTTAGTCTGCTGTTACCGCCTGGTTTGCCGGTTATAGTTATCGTTGTGAACCTGTTGACACTTCGTATTCACCGAAAGCTTTAAAGGTATAAAAAATTTTTCATATTAAAAATTGTTTTTAAAACGAATATAAGAGAATTTATTAATATAAATGTAATTTTCTGTCTAAAAGGTCTTCTTAAACAATTCTTACTAAATTCAAAAATAGTGTTAAAAAAATTAAGCATTTACAAATAATTTTTTCGGAATATATTTCTATACAAAAATTCTTGTAATTTTTTTAATAAAATTTGCTTAAATTTTAATATAGTTCAGTACTATAGAATTAATATATTACATTACAATACGAGTATACAAAAACGTTTAATTCGAACCAAACAATTCGTAACAAGTCTTAAATTTTGACAGCATTTTATTTTTTCGCTTTTAAGCACCCTTCAAATTTATTTTCCATAAATTTGCATAAGTTTTTAGTAAGGAAAGAAACTAATTTCATATTCAAATTTTATACAACTTCAATACTTTTCGAAAAGTATTCATACATGTTGGTATAAAAGCACATATGAAAAATTTCATGGTTGAATGAACCAATTATTCAATTAAAAATTCTTATTACATATGAAATACTTAAGAATTATTGACCTTTGATGTTTGATGGTGCACACACCATTGAATTTAAAATATTTTATTTAGATTTAAGTGATATTTGCAAATTTTATTCAACTGATAACTGAAATGAATTTGTTTTAACCTTATAAATAAAAGAATGAAATCGAAAATACTTACGATTTTACACACAGAACATCATGAAATCTTATATTATAATTTTTTACAAATATGTTAATTTCAGAATTTTCAGAATTATTTAATTTACCATAAGTTTTGCATTATTTTTAGCACTTTTCTAGAAGGATTTTTGGGAAGATATTTATTAGTTCTGTCTGTCCGTCCGTTCGCCGACCAGTTTTGAAAATTTCTACACCCTTTAAGATGGACATCTAAGAGCAACTTATTTCTGTAGAAAAAAAATTTTCAATTATCTTCCCCCGTCAAAAAGTTATTGCCCCTTAAAGTCCTAAAAATGCCATTTTTCAATTTTCAAATGCCATTTTTTTTTTGTTTCATTTCGTAACGAAATCAAAAATATTTTTTATATTTTGTAAAAGCTGAGGATTTTTCATTTCCTCCATAAGTTATCGCCTCTCAAAATTTGTAAAATTTGAATTTTTGCACCTTATATTTGAAACTGGAAGCTTCTCAAAATTTCGACGGTAAATACCATGGAATTCAAAAATATTTATGTTAATTCGCGCATTTAATCTTTGAATTCGAGCATTATGTTAACGATTTTCAAAAAATTTTTTTTCAATGGTTGATAATTTTTCCAAAATATAATTCTTTTTTTTAATTGGTATGAAAAGAAAACTTCCTTTTATTCGGAAGAAAATACTTTTTTTATTTTTTGCTAATATATGCGCACTTTATCAAAGCTAGAAGAAAATCAGCTTTGATAAAGTGCGTATATTAGCAAAAAATAAAAAAAGTATTTTATTCCGAATAAAAGGAAGTTTTCTTTTCATACCAACAAAAAAAAAAAGAACGATTTGGTATTTTTTTGGGTCAATCTATGTAATCTGATTATGTAAAGTATATGTACATATATGAATGAAATTAATTTTAAATGTAAAAATTTTCAAGGGAAAAGCGCATTTTTACAAACCACTCAACTTTTGATCCCCACTTAATTTAATTTTTAATTGACAACAATATATTAAAAATATTCTTACATATTAAAAAAAAAATTAAATCAAATTTATTTTTAAAATACACAAAGATAATATTTTTGCTTTATTTTTGGTTTTTAACATTTCTCAGAATTTTATGTTATTGAACTTTAAAGTTCAATAAAAAAATATTGCAAAACAACTGAAACCCTTTGTTTAAAAGGAAAATACGAGTAAAATGCAAATATTTTAATAATTTCTTTAGTGTATAAAAATAAATAGTGAATTTTATTTTTAAAACACAGAAATTGTAAATTTTTTTGAACCTGGTTTCTAATTAATTCACCATAATATCCTAGTTTACATTTTGGACTGTTGTGCTATAAAAAAAAAATTCTTAAAAGTGAAAAGAAAATAAGTGCATTTTTAAATTCAAAGTTATTCTAAAAATTTTGTATTTACGATTTTAGCATATTGATTAGTCCCAATTAAATCAATATTCCGTTTAATATAAATCTGAAAACAGGGGAATTTTGTATAACAGTTTAACCTATAAATATCACTTATAACTCAACAAATTATGTTTGTAAAATACTTTTAATAAAAATTAAAAATCAAAAAAATTTAAAATCTTGTAATTTCTTGTCTCTTGGACTTGTATGGGAGCCACTCGAACCAGTCAAGCAATTCTACCAAAACTTCAGAAATATCTTTGACCTACAATTGGACATACGACTGCCAAGTTTCATGAATCTGACTTTATTATTTTGCCGAATATAAAAAATTTGCTTTTAGAGTTGTATGGCAGCCACCCGAACCGGTGCAGCTATATCATTAAAATTTTTACAGCATATGTAGAATATAATTGGACACATGTATATAAAATTTTATATTTGTACCTTTATTAGTTTTTTAAACAATTAAAATAAACTCTTTGAGTTGTATGGCAGCTACCCGAACCCGTTGTCCGAATTGGTCCAATAACAATAGGGTTCGTCCTTGGCACAAAAGAAGCAACTTGTGAAAGTTTGGTGTCGATTGCATTATTCGTTTTTGAGTTATCGTGCGATCGGACGGACGGACGGACGGACGGACGGACATGTCTAAATCAACGCAGAATTTTACGCTGAGCAAGAATATATATATATGTCCATACCGCAGATGACTCCTTCAAGTAGTTACAAACTCCATACCAAAGTTAATATACCCTTCACGAAGTGCAGGGTATAAAAATGTAATATTTTGTATGAAACTTAATTTCTGTTAATAATATCATGTATTATTCTGTTTGTTATTAAAAAAATTTTAAACACAAATTTATTGGGACGAATAAAGATGATTAAAAAAAAGCACATGTTTACAATCGTAAATAAAGCTCAAAATAAGCAATCATAGTTTTCAAAACAAATTTTTTTTATAAATCATAAAACAAGTTTCAATATACCGGTTCCATTCCAAAATTTTACTACAAAACAGCTTCTGTTTCAAAAAATAATTTGTATATATACAAAATTTAAAAGATTAGTTTCAATTCAATTTGAAATCAAATTATGATTGAAGATTTGTGGTTCTCTGGAAATTTTATAACCGATTTTATTGCATATGCAAATTTTTTACTTTTGTCTTTAAGTAAATATTCAAAAGAGTGCACAAACAATTATACACTTGCTATACTATACGATTTTTTGTTTACTTAATTTTTTTTAAAAAATTATATCTATAAGAAAATGTGATTCTTTAGGAACAAGTTCATTTCTTGAAGGAGTTATAATCATACGTCTACGGCCCTATTTAAATAAGTTCTAAAAACAAAAATATCCTCATTCCCAAACGTTCATTCATTTGTAAATACAAATTTTATAAAACATAGAAATGTGCAATATGGTATTACGAAATGCATCAAAATAGAGAAATAGATAAATTTGACCAAACAATTATATATATTGGGTATGTGCAAATCCTTGGATCTTGTAGGCTTCAAAATCCATTTTATGAAATTTCTACATGAGATTATATAGGCTATTTGCTATAAATTAAACTTTATGAGTTAACATAACAATATTATAATTTTTAATTAATTAATTTTTATTTTTTTTTTATTTATTTTAGATTGCTGGTCTTACATGGTGGTATTTCTTTTCGAAATTTACTGAATTCTTTGATACAATATTTTTTGTATTAAGAAAACGTTTTGATCAAGTTTCAACACTTCATGTTATTCATCATGGTGTTATGCCAGTATCAGTATGGTGGGGTGTTAAATTTATACCAGGCGGTCATGGTACATTCTTTGGTTTTCTTAACATATTTGTACATATCTTTATGTACACATATTATATGTTAGCTGCAATGGGACCAAAAGTACAAAAATATTTATGGTGGAAAAAATATTTAACTGTTCTTCAAATGGTTCAATTTGTTTTAATTATGGTACATTCATTCCAATTATTCTTTTCAAATGAATGTAATTATCCAATGTCATTTGCATATTTTATCGGAGGTCATGCTATTATGTTCTATTTCTTATTCTCAAATTTCTATAAAGAAACATATGTTAAAAAAGATAAGGTAATTACAAATAAAATTTAATATTTCATTAAAATAAAAATAAAATAATTTCTTTTGTATTTTAGAAAAGAAAAGTAACAGAAAATGGTCATGTAAAACAACATCAAAATGGTTATAAAAATGGTTCAATTACAAATGGTCACATTTCCAAATTAGATTCATCAGATATAAAAGAAACGGAAAAATTATCAGCAAATGGCAATGTAGTACAAAAAAGAAATACAGATATCAATGAAATATCAAATCCAGATGGTAGTCTGAGACAAAGAGTGAACGGAGTAGGATCATATCAATAATTTATATATATAAATATACAAAATAATTAAATTTTTTTTTGAATTTTATTTTTAAATTAATAACAATTTTTTTTTTTTTAATTTGATATAAATTTCTTAATTTAATTGTAAAATAAATATTATAAAAAAAAAAAAAATAAAATATACAAATTTACAAATTAGTTAATTAAGATGAAAATAAAATGTGTAAATCTTTTTAATTATATAATGTGTATGTTAACAATTCCATTACAAAAATATTAAGGTTTCTCATACATATTTAAAAGTATAAAGTATTTTGTGGCAGAAGTAGAAAATATATAAGTTTATAATTTTTTATTAATTTATATATAATTATGAAGATGAATAAATGTGATATTGAAATTTAATACAAGTAAAAAACAAATTTCAGTATTATTTTGTAACATACTTTTAGGAACTGATTTACCATATTAAAAATTCCTGAATATACAAAAAATATTCCAACCTCATCCTTAATATTTTGAAAATTGAATTTGCCTAATTATAATTTCTTTAAATTTGATTTTTTTGTTTTGCAATAAATTATAAGCATTTTTGCTAATTTTGTCCACGTATTGGCATTTTAATTGAAATAAGTACGAGTTTAATCACAAAAGATTATATAAAATAAAAATATGTTTCCTTTTAAAATTTTTATTTATAAGTTTTGAGAAAACAATTATTTTTTTGTTTTGTTAATCCTTTCATCATTTAATAAAAGTGTGATTTAAACAAATAATGCGATTTTCGATAATTCAATTTCAATCTAGATCTTAATATAAATCAAAGTTATAAAATATAAAAATACGCGGTTTTTGCATTACAGAAAGTAAAAGCACAATTCGAAAATTGTAACTATGTATGCTTCAAATAGAAAATATATTACTACAAAAAGCTCTTATTTACAGAAATTTCGGATATTGGGCAACTTGTACATCTGCAAAAATTAAAGTACGTATTTAGATTTCGAAAACTTGTAATTATGCCAAAAAAAAATTTCATGCTCTAAGTTAGAACTTTAAGTGCATAATCTGAATTATTGGAAATCCTAAATGTTGAAATGGAATGCTTTTAAAAACTTAACATATCGGAATGTTATAGGAAGTATAATATTAAAATTAACAACTTTAAAAAAATAATGTAAAATTTCCAAATTTTCCAAATTATTTTGATTTGAAATAATTAATTTAAAAATTCATATTAATAAAATATTAATTAATCATAATTAAATTTTAAGTATTCACAATTCATGAAATCCATGAAACTAGAATCTTTAAATTTATTACCCAACATTTTATATTTTTTTCAATAACTTCAATGATTTCACTTAATATACTCAAAATACGATGGGTAAATGTTGCTAAATATTCGATTATTAAAGACCAAAAAATAAACAACACTTAGTTTTCGTATATTGTAATTAAAAACAAGAATTGTAGAAATCACTTTTGAACTGCATCCGAAAGCTCAATACATTAGTCCTACTCTAAGGAGAAAGCAGAACGCAAAGTTGTTTAACTTCACTGTTTTCATTTCTACTACGTATCAAGAACTGAATTTTTTACCATTTGAAATGTGTGACATTCTTTGGAAAGTGCTTGAATATGGAACTTGAAAGTTTGCAATTAAAATCTTCTTTTTTACAAAAACAAAATTTTCTCTGAATTATTTCCAAAAATACAATATTTTTAAAATCAATAATGGAAACGTTAATAAGCACATTAAATTAAAAATAATAATTTTATAATTAATTGTAAAAGTAACAATAATTATAGTAAAAAATAATACTACATAGTATATAAAATAAATTGATTGAGCTAGAAATATATTAAATAAATAATTGTAAATTAAATAATAATAAAAAAAATTAAAAAACATTAAAAAAACATTAAAAAATTAAAAAAAAAAAATGAAGGAAAATGAAAAATTTAGTAGGTTATTGAAAATGTGGATATGTATGCAACCATATACATAGATACTTATATACAATATTATTTATAAATATATGCATACATATATATATAGGTAAATGCAAATATAATATATGTAAATATTGTAGTTAAGAAAATTTATAAATATGTTAAAAAAAAATATTAAGAAAATTTCTTACTTTTATTAATTTTTCCCTTGTAAATTTTTAATACAAAAAAAGCAAACAAACAATTATGTACTTTGGTTTTAGATAAATTTTAATTTTCAAATTCATAAATAACTGTATGTTTTCGATTTACATACATAATTTCACGTTTTTTAAATAGTTTTGATAAATATAATTAAATTTTTGGCCACTCTGTATGTACTAACTATAAAGGTATTAAATTTTTCTAAATATTTTTTTAATTACTATTTGAATTTTTTTTGTTCAAAATTATCAAAAAATTTATTTGTAAAAGTCTGATAAGTTGAACCAAAAAAAAAGAAGGAGACAAAAACAACAAATATGCCAATTTTTATATGAAATTTAATTTAATTTCAAATAAAAAAAAATAATATAAAGGTTTAATAAATTGCTTTTGTGTTTTTTTTTGTAGTATAAATGCAACTTACGGCAGACGCATTTCCTTATCCTATAAATTAACCACTTAATTTAGCAAATGCAAATATTATAAGAAAATCATCAGTTAGGTAAAATTTCAGAATTCAATGACTGAAAATGAGCTATAATCTCTAAATTTGTTTTTTATATAAAAATACTAATAGGAGAAATGGTTGGCTGCTTAGTTGGAGTGGTCGGTGCTGCAGGCTACCTTTATTAACAGAAACATGCCGCTTTGCTTGGCAAGTTTTACTTAGCATGTTTCATATGATATCGTTATGGGACGAGCTGTCTTTGAGAATTCAAGTTCTTAAAGTACAAATCTTTAAAAACTAAAATAATAACCTTTTCAAAAACATTCAGTAATTTGCTACAATACTACGTATAACGTACCTACTCTCAATCTTGCATTAAAAGCAACAAACAATAATAAAATATAAACAATAATAAAAATCCCACTAAAAAATTGGAAATCTTTATGTGTGTATGTAAAGTCGAAAAAAATTAAGTTTATTGAATATTTTTAATATCAAAGACATATGCGGGAAAACCCTCTGTTCAAAATAAAAGAAAATTTTCAAATATTATACCATGAATAGAAAAAAACCTATCAAAAGGGATTTTCGATCATTTAGGCACACACTCAGGCACTGAAGCAAATCTTAAAAGTCTTTTCACGCATACTTACAAATCAGCAGAAACTGCACATTTAATTTTTTGCAGATTTGTAGTATACTCTATCTATCTATCTATAAATAAAATATCTATCTTGTTATATACAATCTACATATCGTAAATTTACAATCTACATGTTCGCAATGAACAATAGTCAAATAGTAATTTTTCAAATTAAATTAAAATTTCTAAAATGTGATAGAATAGAAAGTTACCCCGATTTTATAGAATGTATTATTTAATTTATATTATTTTCAAGTTCAAGATTTCACATTAAGATTGAAAAAATAAATATTTTTATTTTTCTTTACTCAGAAATTTTTCAATTATTCATTAAAAGTATATGAACAGACTTTTTTCTGGTTCACTGTAATTGCGTTTCATATTTTTTTCCAAAAATAGCTATTGTGCAGGAATATAAAGTTTTTTTTGATTCGGGTACAAAAAACAAGAAAATTGCATTTCTTGTAACACATGTTAATGAATGATAACCACTTGAATATTTAAAAATTTAATTTTTAACACTTTTCCAAAAAATTTTTGAAAAAAGTGCTTATTAGTTTCACTCTGTCCGTCCGACCGTCCGTCCGTCCGTCCGTCTGTCCGTCTGTCCGTGTGTCTGTTTACAAAACTTCTACACCCTTGAAGATAGAAAGCTGAAATTTAATACGTACATAGATCTTTACTAGAAACTTATTTCCGTAGCACAAAATTTTTACCTATCTCCCCCTCTCTAGAAGTTACACCCCCCCAAAACCCTAAAAATGGCCTTTTTTAACTATTTGTTGCATGAGACCATAAGCAGCTTGCTTCCCCTATCGCGGTAAGCTATAGTTAAAGTTTAGAAAAACAAAATGGCCTTTCAAATTTACCGTTAGCTAAACTCCTTTTTTCCCAAATTTTTGATTTCGTTTTTCTTCTTGTTTCTTCTAGACCCCACCCTGTAGAAGCTTGAAATTTTAGGGGCTTTTAGATATTAACAAATAATTAATTTCATTAGAGGAAAATTTTTTTCCATCTCCACCCCTTCTCAAGTTATTGCCTCTTGAAATTTGTAAAATTTGAATTTTTGACATCTTATATTTCCGAAACCGCAAGCTTTTTCAAATTTCTGTAAACGTAAAAAGCTAACGGTAAATTTCATGACATTAAAAACTATAATTATTTTTCTTAACTCACACAAATAAACCTTAAAATCGAGCATTATGTTAACCCCACTTTATACTAATTTTTGCTTTATTTCAAAGACTGCATAAATCGTTCATCCTAAATATATGCAATCCTTGGAATAGTTTTGTATATGAATGAAAATAATTTTAATAGTGTGATATGTATACATAGACTGTATTTAAAAGCAGAATTTTCACTTGTTGAAGGGAAAAGTGCTACAATACAAACCATTGGTTTGACCCAACATTATTTTTTTTATTAGCAAGTGGAATTCTAGAAAGGAACATTTAAATTATAAAAAATTTATTCAATTTTTTTTTTGATGAGCTCCTCAGCTCAAGAAATTTAGTACCGTTCTTTATAAAAGAAAGTCTTAAAAATTTCGTTTTAATCTGTTGTTCATACAGGTAGAATCCTTTAAATTTATATTAGGTACTTTAATAATTCTAATACGGTCGTGATTTTAAGCTTTTCAAAACTTAAATTAACGCGCTTGATTTTTCCTAATTGAATTCTCTGAGATTGTTTCGGGGAACAGCCATTAGAACCAGCTAACCAACAATAGGTAAAAAATGTTAATGAACACTTAGAATTTAAAGCTCGCATTGATGACTCATCTTTTTGAAAAGGTAAGAGAATATAGTCTAGTATACCAAAAATGTATTTAGAGTATCCCTTGAGAAATACCTGTTGAATGTTAAAAATGTTAAAAAATAATATAAATAAAAACTATTTTTTTTTCTTCCGAAATATTTTCAATATGACCAAAATACAAAATTTATTGTATATTTTATTTTTTTTTCAAAAGGAATGTGATCATCGGTATACAATCATCAGATCACATTTTTTTACATATGTACTTATATATAATGCATATATATGTGTATATAATATGAATAATGAGTATGTGTATATAATATGAATAGCTATTTGAAATAATTCTATACATGTGCCATCTAACCTTACTGTGTGCAGACTATTTCGATATCTTTGATCTTTAATGTTTTGTTTTTAGTTGCCTTTTCTTTTTCTTTATCTTTTATGATTATTTTAGTGTTTTATGAAACTTTAATGTGTACATTAATTTTTCTGTAGAGGAACAAAACAAAAACGAAAATTGAATTGGTATAAAATTTTCTCGCGAAAATTTTTCTTGCAGAAATTTTTAAGACGAAATAAAAGAAATGAAAATTTAGGTACATAATTTCATTGGATTCGATTAAAAGGTTCCGTTCAGATTCTACCATCAATTAAAATGTGATTACTATTTTTAAAATTAAAATATTTCGCAAATTTTTTTTTCTAAATTTTAGTAGACTCCATTAATTTGCATTCAATAAATTTAAATGTTTTACAATATAGAAATTTTTATACATATGTACATATGGCAATGAGCAGTTTGAATATATTATTTAATACTAAATTTAAGAATTATTTTAAAATTTAAAAATAAAGATTAATATGACCAAAAATATGTTATATAATATAATTAATTCTTAGTGCCATAAAAGATTTCACCACAAATATATTAATGCCAAAAAATTTAATTATTCTATAACTGTATAATGTACTTGTTTGCTAATCACTCTACGATATAAACTCTATAAATTTATTTAATTAAATATATAGTAGTTGATTGATTCATCATTATAGTTGTAAATGAATCCATTACATTACTAAGTAAACCTTTAAGTATTGAAAAGTATTTTGAATTTCTATTAAGAATTTCGAAATTGATTTTATTCAGAAAATTATAAAACTCTTGACTTGCCGTAATTGTAAGACAATTAAAGTGACTAACAATGAATATAGGTGACTAATGTCGTAAAAATGCTAAATATATATTTAATATGTAATTTCTAAACACAATAATTTTAATAAAACATGAACAGTTCAATTTAAATTTAAATAAAAAAGAACAAATTAATTAAAAAATCTAAAAATAAATAAAATTTTCTTTTTTTGTCTGCTATAAAATTCTATATAAGAAACTAAAATAATAGCAAAAGAAAAGTGTTTTGCAGAACAATTATTGTTGGAAAACAACAAATTGAAACTATAAAAAAAAAATATTGTGTTTGTATGTAAATATAAAAATTACTTTTTTTTCTTTTTTAAAAATTTGCAGCCCTTTCTTCATTAAAATATAGAGAAAATTTTTTTTTAGACGAAAATAGAATATACCAAAAATTTTTTAGTTTACCGGGGCGCTTTGAATCTATCGCACATCAAATATTATATTAATTTTTTTTTTTAATTTTATTTTAAAAATGTATTTTAATTAAAAATATTTAATAAGGTACTTATTTGAACACTACAATTGAAATTCTGTTATTAAGAATTTATTAACAATTATTAAAAATAATGATGAAAAAATAAAATTTTTAATTTAAATTTTATTTATATATAGTTGCATATGCATACATACTAATATGCATTTGAAATGATTAATAAAATTTTATTTAAATAAATTTCATGTAGCTAATATATAAAAAATAACTGTGTATAATATTCAAATTGAGATTAAGAATTTAGAATTTTATTAATTACATATACATACATACTCAATACAAACATGTGTGTGCGTGTATACCATATCTATTTAAGCATAGCATTATTTGGCTAAGAAGATTATTGTAAATTTTGAATAAGGCAAAAAAAAAATAATTTTTTTTGAATATAAATAAATAAAATTTAAATGTGAAATAAAAATAAATAGAAAGAAAGAAAAATTATAATAATAATAAATGTGTTCCTTGGAAAATTTTACACGCCCTCTATATATGTGTATGTTTTACGTATATGTGTATAGGTGAAAATATTAAGAATCATCTAAGCATAATTGCCCGCATATTAATATTAAAAATATTTAAATGAATGAATTGCATGGGGAACGCTTAATAACCCCATATTTAGATAACATGTAATATGTAATACATATGTATGTACGTATGCATAGGGTGTTTAGAACAATATTTATACTATTTATTTTAAGGTGAACACCGCACATAGAGGCATAAAACATGTTGTTATTATAATTTAAACAATTATAAATGGTTTTAATTTACATACATAAATTGAATTTCACTCAAAATATAATTTTTTTAATGT